TATTCCTAGCTTACACTGGTTACAATGCATAATTAAAGAGTAAAAGCTCTTTCTAAAAATATATAGTTAAATGTAGTTGAAATCAAAATTTCCTGAGTAATTTACGTCAGAATGTGAAATGTTAACATTTTTTTACGAAAACATAATTTTTATGACCTTTTCAAAACTACATAAAATTGTTATAACCAACCTCAGATTCGGAGATATATAAATTGTATGGAATTTATTGCAGTTTCAGATCGTGATGGAAACAATCCACCACAAAAATTTATTTTGAACTCTCTTCTTTTACAAACTATATTTCTCGCTACATAATAGTCACTCAATACTATTTTATATATATGAAAATGAATCTTCAGAATCTCCATCTTTCTAAAAGTATAATATAAATATCAGCTTGAACTGTACTCGCCATTAATAGTTACGGCAGCAGGAACAATGACCGCGACGCGTTTTGCGCCTTTGTTTGTGTTATGTTTATTGGATCTGAGGATTGTATAGCTGTTAAGTTATGTACCGCAATAGTTTCATTATACAGAAATACTAATACTATTTACCTATTGTGTACTACTCTCAAAAGTTGCCAATAAAAAAATTAGTGGTTCTAAACAACAACAAAAACCATTATACTCCTGATTATACTTATCGTAAATTTAAAAAATATAATTTTTAGTAACTTCTTGTCAATTTCCGTGAAACTACTACATAATCTCTTTGTAGAATGCATTTTTTCTGCACAGTTTGACATGTCTAACGTATTCATATGACTTTTGGTTCTTGAGATATAAGCTTTTTTGTGCGTGGCGGCCCCCCGGGCGGCCCCCCAACTTCACCCCCTCCCCCCCATGTTATTAACCACCTAGAAATGCGACAACATCGATTTTCTTCATCTACTAGGTACCCATAGCAACAATCAAAAGTCAAATTTCGTTACACTTTTATGCATGATCAAACCCCCTCAGCGCCTGGACTATCTGCTCCGTTTTACACTTCTGTCTGCTGTGCGCTATGTTACAACAGATTTAAGATACAACAGCTGGGGAATGATGACGATATAATGCTTAGTAAACTGTGATTGAGTGATTAGTAGTTGAGTGATTGTTTTTTTGATGGTAACTTTAGTAAGACTGTGATTGGCCAATGAGTAGGCCTAAATATGGCGACTTGTTGAATTTGTGTATGAATTGAAGAGAAACCTATTAAAGAACAGAAGAACAAAGAAAAAGAATAACAAGATTGTTCTCGTTACATTCTTTTTTAAGAGTGTTTTAAATTATCTCTAAATATAATTTTACACTTTTTTATTACTTATGTATCAATTCCTATGCTTTGATCCAGCACCTATCGGTAGCCTATCCGTCTATCATGAACAGTACCTTATATAACACTTCCTAAAAGTTCCTTTTATATTTACGTTATTTATAGCAATGCAATGTATGGCTAGTAATTAGTTGAGTTTGAGTTAGCTACAATTTTAAACGTTGCCGTTTGTACAACTGAACCAAGATAAATGATTTGAAATTTACAATAATAACATTATTGCACAATAATAATGATTGTGCAACATTGAATTTCGTTTATAAAAATGCAAATCGTGACGTTAATGGCTGTTTACAGCGTTTTAATGAGTTTGCCATCTGTTTTTATACTATATTGGATTAACCGTATTTTTTATTACCCCCCCTCACCCTATTAACTCAGGTAATCGAGTATCTACACAATAGTGTAAAGTATTGTAGCCTATGCTACTTGATTGTATTTTAACGAGCTTTATGTCAACAAAGCGTTCTGTGCTAAGTCGCGGTGTAGCTGGACGTGTCTACCACGCGTTATCTTTATCTATCACAGCTCACAGCAGTTGAGCTATCCCGTGCGCTCCCTTAGATCTCACGTCTTGCTAATCTTAAATCATAACTTTCTACACGAATTCTAAACTACCCTAAAATCCAATTTTAACTAATTTAATTCAATAATATAACTATTGTCATTAATGAATCCACTTTCTATCTGGCGACTTCGTAATATATTTTGGATTGTCGTCACGTTGAACACTGTTGCAATTAGCTTTAGCCACCCCCCCCCATTTTAATTTTTTTAGCCCCCCCCCCAAGAATTTCAATGACGCAGTCTGCGTCACAGCCCCCCCTTGTGGGCACCCCTGTAAAAGCTATATGAATTGACTATTTTAATACGGGGTGCGATCTTATAGGAGAAAGATCTACTTTTCCCACGTGACAACATTGGGTGTATTTGCCCCAATTCTCGTCTCTCATCAAAAATACAGAGCATTGCAATTTCTGCATATCTGATCCATAGGCCCCAGACAATGCAATGCAGGATTTAGGTTCGTCAAGCCAGGTCTTCTCTCTTCTGCATCACGTCTAATACACATCAAATCTCGCACCAATCTCCGTCCCTGCATGTTTTCCCTATTTATTCTTCGGACTCTTGGCATTGTTTATTTAAGTATTTTTTCAGTAAAAACAAAAAAAAAATGTTTATGATATTATACGTTAAGGGTTATCATTTACTATCTCACATGAATATAAATATAAGTCATAAAATAAAATGATCAAACATCATATGTTATATTAGATTATCAGCAAGTAAAAAATGTCTTGCTTCCAACTTTTTCTTTCTGACAGCAACTGGAGTTTTATATCAACTTCAATTCCCATGTTATTGTGGAAGAAAAAAAATACTTTAAAGGCACCCCCCACATTTCTGAAAAATAATATTGAAAAACAAAAACCTTAATGCAAAACTACGAATTGGGACAAACATTTTGACAACTCAAACAGTAAAATCGGTCCAGGAATAACGGAGGAGTTTTGTTCACAAAAAACAGCCTTCACGTATTAATATAAGAGATATATACATATAATGTATAACATTTTGAACGGTTGGAATTTTTGGCCTCTGGGGACATCAAAATAAAAAAGTAAATCAGTCCCGGGCCTAGGTCTTACTGTGCCACCTACAGTAATAGCTACTTCCCTATAAGGTATTACTCTATTTTCAATTCCTGGGAAAATATTCGCAAGAATTATTTTGAACAGAATCAAAGAGGTTGTTGATAGGAGTTGAGAAGGGAGCAAGCTGGGTTCAGAAGGAACCGCTCATGCACAGACCAAATAAATACGATGAGGATAATAATCGAGCAAAGTAATGAGTTCAGAGTAGGCTTGTATCTAGTTTTTATTGACTTCCTGAAAGCCTTTGACTCCGTAAAAAGAGAGAGTATTTGGAAGGCACTTAGAAAATTTGAGATTCCTAACAAAATAATAGTTCTTATAAAGGAGATGTACACAAATTACCATTGTAGAATAATTCATAATGGTAAACTAAGTGATCCTTTGGAGGTAAAGTTAGGAGTTAGGCAAGGCTGTGTTCTGTCACCAACACTTTTTGTGATAGTTCTAAACCAGGTTTTGCAAAATATATCAGAGAAAGGAGCTAGAGGCATATCCTGTGGTCTCCAACAGAGGCTTGAAGAACTGGCCTATGCTGATGATATTTGTTTCCAGTCCCATAGATTTGATGACATGACAGCCAAGTTGCAGGATTTGGAAAGTGAACAATCTACAGGCTTAAAAATAAATGTAAAGAAAACAAAATCGATGAGGATAAATGTAGCGAATAACAACAGTTTCAGAATATCAGATGAAGAAATCGAAGAGGTGAACAGCAGATTTACATATCTGGGGGGAAGCGTCTTAACAAGAGCGGGAGGAGCTGATAAATATGTTATGTCAAGAATTACTAAAGCTAATGTTGCTTTTGTACAGTTGTATCCAGTGTGGAAGGCTCAAATGACATTTCGACCAGAACCAAGTTGAAGATATTTAGTAGCAACGTCAAGTCTGTCTTGCTGTATGGGTGTGAGACTTGGAAGGTATCTTCATCTTTGACTCAAAAGCTCCAAGTTTTCATCAACAGATGTTTGAGGAAAAACTGAAGATCTACTGGCCCGAGGTTATTTCAAACAGAGAGCTGTGGAAATCTGCAGATGAAGAACCTGTAGATATACAGATTAAAAAATACAAGTGGCGATGGATTGGAAATACTCTTCGTAAAGATCCAGATGCTGTAGAGAGGCAGGCCTTGAGCTGGAATCCCCAGGGGCATATACGAAGAGGAAGGCCTAGAATGACTTGGAGAAGAACTATAGAAGAAGAAATAAAAGGTGCAGGGAAAAACTGGAGGGAAGTGAGAGCCTTGGCTGCCAACTGAGTCTGATGGCGTTGTTTCGTGGAGGCCCTATGCTCCATGCAGGAGTGAAAGGAGATGTCAAGTAAGTCAAATATAAGGAAATTCGCCTATAAGACAAAATAGCTGTCTGCTAGATAAACTGATGGGTGTGTTGCTAGCCTAGTGGTTAGCATCTCGGACTTCGGTGCGGGAGGGACGGGTTCAATCCCCGGCACATCCACAAAACTTTAATGGGTTTGGACCGCTTTCCCTTAAAAGTGTTTGTGTTTGACTTCACAAACAAATGCCACTGGCGTATATAGCCTACGAGCAAAAAAAAAAAAAAACAATAAAAAAACTCACCGGTCTCCCAGAACGATGCATTTTCTGCACTGGTCCTGTACCGGTGCACTGGTTCGTGTTCCTAGAACCTATGCCATACAGTAGTCCCCACCCCGTTGAAAACTCAGGGCTTCAGCAGAACATCAACAAGCACAAATAAAAATATACATCTACCCTGTACAAATAGGTTCTCTGATAAATAAATAGATCAAGTTACGGTATGTATTATGAATATTTGTTATGTCATTTGTATGTTTTTTTCCCCGACAGTAAAATTATTCTTTGTTTAGCATGGAATTATCTTTAGATGTGTTTAATAAACTTAAATCCTCAACGTTGTTGGATGCAGATACTGCCCATCATTCTTTAAACTCCCCTGGTATATGTTTTATGGTAGCATATATCAGATTCAGATTTAGAATTTATTTCCAACACTAAAAGAACTATGAGGTGAGCTATAAGTTTACCTGTGACTGGTCAAACAGTGTGACAGCCACTAGGTTTGTCCCTGTCGTTGGTACAGTTGCTGTTGTGTTGTCTACAACGTGCCGTCCCTGCAACTTACGCAGCAACATACTCTTGCCTGAACCGGTAGGTCCCACGCATAAACAAATGGCCTTCTGGGGCTGCCCTAAAATACATTCTAATGATAATGATAAAATAATAGTTATAACCAATACAAAAAAAATGTTATACTTGTTGTACCAACACAAAATAAACACAGTATATCAGCAAACTGACACATACTTCTTCCCGTTCCCGTTAACTGGTCAACAACCTCTTAATGGTTAAGTAGTGGGAGTAACCATGATATTTTATGTATAAAATCACTAATTGCAATAACTTTTGAAACACAATTCCAACTACAGCTTTGGAGGTGTACCATTTTGTTTAGAGTTAAAATAACCATAACATACTATAAATTTGAATCAAAATCATTAGAGCCATTTTTTTGAAATTCTGTAATTCTACAGACAAGCTTTGAGTTTAAGTTTTGTCTGAAGGAGAATGATCTGGTAAATAGTGTAGGAAGAAACCAAAAATCTTAATTTGAAGTTTAAAATTAAATTTTAATGTCAAGCAAGAACGACATTTCAACAAACGTATAGAATGACAAGCCAATCAAAAGAATGTGTAATTTAATACCGGTACTCATCAAATTTCAAATATGATTTTAGTTTCCCAACACCAAATGACAACACTATTTCATAGATATTTGATAAATAGTAAATAAGGACAATATTATTGAGTTTCTAATATCTTAATAAGAAGTAAATGAAAATTCTTGATTAGGTAGTTTATCAAACACTACATTACCTTATAATTGTTAGAATTTTAATTTACCTTGAGACATTATTTAGTCAGAATTTTAATGAAAATTGGCTGGAACAACAAATAATAATTATTACAGTATTATATAGAAGATATAATCAATGTTATTATTATCTAAATGTTCAATTTTTATCCTCTTATTATTCAATTTTCATCTCAATAAATTCTACATTCTTCCAAATGGTGGTTTATAACTATAAAAGCTTGATGGGTGTAATGTTATACATAAAAATAGTGGACTATAGTTAGATTAAGTTGATTCACCCAATTTAGTGATTATTTAATGTGCTTCTTTACTCATAGTCTTCTCTTGCACAACAACTGACATTGACAACGAGAACTGACTAATATTGTTCAAAGTTGCTAGGCAACCATAGAAGTAAAGCCAATGAGCCAATAGAGTATGGAGGTCATATTAGTTTATTACTATATGAAATGAATACTTGATGCCATATATAAATTATTGTAATTTCCTGCATTCTTATTCTGAATACAAACAGATTCAATAACACACCTAAATAGCCAATGGTATAAAATGCATTCATCTACTGTACTATAGAGTAGACTAACTAACCACAAGTAGACTTCTCGTCCCATGTTAATTTTTGAAGCTCGTTTTTGTGTCTAGTTCATGTCCGGTTACACTGAGTGTTAGAGTTGACGAAATTTTGTTTATATTATTTTAGGGTTCATTTAATGATCTATGCTTTACTGTTTCGTTATATAACTAGAGGACGAGTTTTTTTTTATGATTAGATCATTTATTTGGTTACACGAGGACGTGGTTTTATAGCTATTTACCTTGCAAGTGTAGTAAGAGCGTTTTTACATCACGCAGGTGAATGTTGTGCAACGAGCGGAAGCGAGTTGCATAATTTACCGAAGTGATGTAAACTCGCTCTTGCGTAACGTGTAACGTACAACATTTTACCTGACCCGACAATATACAGGGGGTTACGAACAATATTTTTCATTATCCATTTCACTCATCTTCTAACAGTAACGTTCATTTACAAACAAAAGCTAGGTTAGGAAAATTCTTCAAAACATAACAATAAAATTCAAGCGCACAGCTGATTTCTAGCGTTGAACGTCGTTGGCTCCATAGAGGTATATTTTTTAAGTTAAGCACTCAATGTTATTTTACCTAACCCGCCATGTTAAACTTCCCCATCCCAAGCGTGATGTATATAACTTCGTTACTTCTCGAGTGATGTAAAGTTGAAAAAAACTCACTCGGTGATGTAATGAAACCCATTTAAATAACATTGAGTGCTTAACTTAAAAAATATACCTTTATGGAGGTATATTTTTTAAGTTAAGCACTCAATGTTATTTTACCTAACCCGCCATGTTAAACTTCCCTATCCCAAGCGTGATGTATATAACTTCGTTACTTCTTGAGTGATGTAAAGTTGAAAAAAACTCACTCGGTGATGTAATGAAACCCATTTAAATAACATTGAGTGCTTAACTTAAAAAATATACCTCTTTGGAGGTATATTGGTCTTTTGTGATCACTGGTGCTACTCTAACCTTGCCCAACGTTATCTACGGCGAATCGTCCCCACTCCGACTACTGGAAACGCTCCTCACTAGCATTGCCGACGGCGTCATGGGCAGACGTCGCTACGTTTTCCTACATTTTACATGGACTCTTCAATTCTCATTAAATCACAATTAACTTCATTTTGTCAGTTTTCAGTTTTTTCAATATACCAGTCATTTTTAACTTCACCAGTGCTAGTCATTTCCCTTGTTGTTGCCCCCGCACCCTTGGTCTACACCGCTGCTGTCTACCGCTTCCATCCCTTGGACTACCCACTACCTTGGACGAGACGGACATCATCCACCTTCAAGACATCCGACAAGGTAACGGTAGCCAGCATTAATTTTGTTTTGTTCAAACCGCCTACGGCTTTCCGCTAACCGTACAAGTATGTTATAGTCCTTTAAATTCTGAACAGAATGGTACGAATCCCATTTCCGTAAAAATTATGGTTCAAAAGTTATTGTAAATTTTGTTATTTTCCCATAAAAACCCATAAAATAAGAAAAAAATTAGATTTTTGGAGAAAAGCTGGTTTTGATCAAAATAAATTTGTTGTTGTCCTTATAATTCTAAAATAAAAAAAATGTACAGCACCCCATTCATTGAGTGTTAAAATACGCAACTAAGTAGCGTCCCCATCTCAATTATTGATAATTGATAATTGGTAATCGACCATTAATTGCTGTAACAATTATGGCTCAAAAGTCATATCATATACTCTCACCGTACCTATGATAAAGGTTGTTGACAAGCTTATGGGAGAAAGTATGTACCAGAATGCTGATAGGTACCGTTTATTTTAAATTTCACTCTGTCGAAGTTGATATCGCCACTATACTGTACGTGATTCAATTCCTTTGATATCACGGACGATTAATACCAAACATTAGAAATAACAAAATAAATTTTAACAAAAACTAGGTATCTTCTTTATTGTATTCAACAAAACAACATACTAAACTATTTTCTGTTTACAAAACAATTGAAAAACATATGACTGTTTATGTATTAATTATTAAACAGTCTTTTGGCAAACTTATATGAAATATATTGAGGGGTTTTCTTTATCAATGATTAATCATCGTACGTCAATCATCCCCCCCAAAACCCTCAATATATATTTCAAATCTTCCTCTTTCTAGACCTTAAGTTGTAACCAGGTAAGGCATCGTTATGGTCTTCTGCTTCTAGTTCATTATCTTCGGCTTGAGTTGCTTCACGGAGAGTTTGTGGGAGTATTTTCAACTCCGACATGTGTACCTTAATTGGTGGATCAGACCTCAAGAGGTACACTCCCTTCCCTAGCTTGTGTTCCACCTCAAATGGTCCAAGCCATTTCCGTGCCATCCCTGCATGCACATTTTTAAGCTTATTACTCAAGGGATGGTTTCGCCTAAGAACCAACGTACCCGGTTTCAGGTCCTGCTCTTCAGGTACATCGTTTCTCTCTGCTTCCCTCTTCGAACTCTCTTCGGCTTGTCGATTCATACGTTTGATTTGTTTTGCGTTTTCTTCATGCCATGCAGTCAAATTCATAGTTTCAGGAGACTGTTCATGCATAAAGTTCCAATCACCAGTTCTTTTTATTTCCCGACCAAGAAAAAGTTCTGCTGGGGAGAACCCTGTGACGCGATTCACTCGCTGTCTGATGGCCAGGAGAGACTCATGCAAGTGTTGATCCCATTTGGTATGTTCTTTGTCGAACAAATGAATCCTGAACAGCTTCTTAAGCTCCTGATTTCTCCGTTCAGTAGGATTTGCCTGAGGATGGTATATTGGCGTTCAATAGCCCACTCAGTTAAAGTCCGCAACCATTGTTTTGACGTGAACGGACTGCCATTATCTGTGAGAAGACATCGTGGATAACCATACCGACTAAAGACCTCTGTTCGTAGGAGCTGTAGGATTCTTCCCGATGTAGCTTCAGGAATGGCAAATGCTTCGACCCACCTGGTAAAAAGGTCTGTCACCACCAAAATTCCAGTCTTCCCTCGAGATGTTCTGGGATATGGTCCCATAAGATCTAGAGCCACAACCTCCCACAGCTGGTGTGGCCGACGTCCTCTCATGCTTGTACTAGCTTTTTGGTTGTTGGCCTTGGTACAGGCACAGATAGTGCAGGATTGGACGTAGTTCTTGATGTCCCGATGCATATTTACCCAGAAGAAACGACGCCGAATCGAAGTGTAGGTCTCGTCTTGTCCTGGATGGCCAGCTTCAGGGCTGTCGTGGTACTTCTCTAGAATCCTTACGGCCTGAGACTTCGGAACTACAATCACAGGAGAAGATTCTGATAGATGAGATTTATACATAAGTATACTGTCTTCCAAGCGAAAGTTCTTATAGCATGTCTTGAACTGGAATGGGACAGCTTCAGAATTTGTGTAACGATTGGTTATCCAGGATTTCATTCTACTACAAGCTGCATCTTCATTCTGCCATTTCTTTATCAGTTCCAAGTCAATGTCACAATTTTCCCGTTGTGCCACCATAAGAACAGGCTCAATCTGTTTTAACTTCATTGGGACTGGAACTTCCCTCTCCATGAGTTCTTTGGATATCTCACCACTGTCTACCGGGTTTCTTGACAAGCTATCAGCGGCTTGATTTAACTCTCCTGGGACGTGATGTATTTCAAAGTCAAAATCGGCCAAAATTAAGGACCATAGCATCAGTTTTGACTTGGTTCCGGATACTTTGTTTAGCCACTGTAGTGATGAGTTATCAGTGAATAATTTAAATTTTCTTCCCTCGAGATACCCCCTGAATTTCCCTACTGCCCACACTACCGCTAGAGCCTCCTTTTCAGCTGTACAATAGCTTTTCTCAGAAAGGGAAAGTTTCCTGCTTGCATACTCAATGATATCCTTGCCTCCTTCTATTCGCTCTTGAAAGAGAACAGCCCCAAGACCTACATTACTGGCATCTATCTGTAAGCATATTTCCCGATTGGGGTCCAAATAAGCTAATCCTGGAGAGTCACAGATGGATCTCTTTATCTCACTGAAAGCTTTCTCTTCCGTCTCGGTCCATTTAAAAGGTTTATTTTTATGAAGAAGGTCAGTTAGAGGTGAAACCTTGGATTCAAAATGAGGTACAAAACAACTGTACCAACCGCACAGGCCCAAAAACTGTCGAACTTTACGCTTCGTACCAGGTCTTTCGTACTCTTCAATAGCCTTGTTTTTCTCAGTTTGCCTCTCTAATCCTTTGTCTGTTAACACATGACCCAAATATTCTACTGAGTTGGACGCAAAGTGGCATTTCTTCACCTGACAGGTAAGTCCATGAATTTTCAATCTTTCTAATACTCTAGCCAAATGTTCCAAGTGATCAGAAAATGTTTTGCTGTAAACTAGTATATCGTCCAAATAAACTTGACAAAATTCACCAACATAACCTGACAAAACTTTGTCCATCAGACGCATGAATGTTGCTGGGGCATTTTTCAATCCAAAGGGCATAACACGGAATTGATATAGTCCCCTTGGTGTTGAAAAAGCGGTCATAGGCCGAGATGATTCTTCTACCTCTACTTGCCAATAGCCAGAATTCAAATCTAAAGTGCTAAATACTTTGGCCCCACTAACTTGCTTAATCAGATGTCGTAGATCAGGCATTGGGTAAGCATCAGCAATAGTTTTATTGTTGACTTGACGTAAATCCACACAAAGTCTGTAGTCTCCGTTCTTCTTTTTGGGTAATACTATTGGTGAAGCCCATCCTGAAGACGATGGTTCAATTAGTCCTTGATTTTCCATTTCCTTTACTTTTTCTATGACAAACTTCCGTTTGTCGGGGTTAAGAGGGTAAGGTTTCTGTTTGACAGGTGTGTTATCTTTACAAGAGATCATATGTTTTACCGTAGTAGTGAACCCAATTCTGTCTGTAATTACCTCTGGAAAGATACTGAGTAAGTTAATCAAGTCTGTTCTTTGATTGAGATCCAAAATTCCCGTTTTCAGTTCATCCAAAACGTTGTTTTCTAATTCTGCTCCCAAATCAAAGTGTTTGTCCTCTAACCATCCCAATCTAACTCTATTCTTAATGCCAAAAAATATTTCATTTGCTGTGTAATCTATCAACACACCGTATTTAACAAGGAAATCATGCCCTAGTATGATTTCCGGGATTAAATCCTTAATCACTTTTACTGGAATTTGAATATATTCTTGAGAACATTTGGCTTCAAGAAAAGTAAATCCTTCGATTTTGTAATTTATATCTTGTACTGCACCTTTGACAACAGTTACACCGTCTGGACAAACAGGTTTTAACAATTTAGCCACCGTCATGCCAATAAACGAATGTGATGCTTGAGTATCAAGGGCTGCAGTATAATATTTGTCACCAATCTGTAAACTAATTGCCGGACGGGGATTACCCACACTCTCACTAGAAGTTTGACCAATATAAGTTTTTTCTGACTGGTAGTTTTGGGACTTAGAAACTTTTCTAGAACCATTCTCGTCCCTATTAGAACGGTTCTGGTCTAGTTTTCCGGACAACGGGCCTTCACATGCCCAGTTTGCCCACATTGATAACATTTAAAGGAGTTATCAGGGTTCGAAGTTCTGGTTTTTGAGGAATAAAAGCTTACCTCTTCGTCTAGCTTTGCTTCTATGCTCCTGAGTTCGTCAAATGATTTTGGTTGAGCTACCTTAACTAGAGACCTAATCTTATCATGTAAAAGTTCTATAATATAAGTAACACTCTCGTCAATACTCCCACCATCATTCATTCTCTTAAACAACTGTAACTTTTGAATAACAAATGCCCCAGCTCTCATGCCACTAGGTTGAACATCCGTCAAGAATTTCTTAGTGATTAATGCTTTGACAGACTCTGAATTAAATCTCTGCATAAACTCATGTTTGAATGTGTCCCATTCTAGACTTAGACCCTTAATGTTTTGCCACCAAGTACCTGCCGAAACCCTCAACTGTTGGCTCACAATCTGCAGATATATTTCTGACGGTATACACGTCCGTTTTAACAAAGACTCGCACGTAGCTAGACACGCTGTGGGACATTTCTCCAACCTCCCATGAAATTCCGGTAGGCTGTCTTTGATAATTTTGGGATCTACAGTAGGCATGAATGATAGTTGGGATTCTGGATTATTCAAAGTAATTGTCTTTTCCTGTGAGGATATCTGTGTTCCAATAGCTTGCATTTTATTGTTAGTTTCAATGTAATTAATTTTAGTTTCCAATTCATTTAATTTATCAGAGTTACCAACAAAATTTGTTTCTAATTTCGTAATTTTATCAATGGTTACGACAACATCTGACTCCAATGATTCGATTCTATTGTCTAATTTTGAATAGTTTTGAGAAATTTGTTCCATAAAAGATGACATATTACTATTAATATCTGCCGACTGTGTGTCAAGTTCCTCAGATTGGATATCTAGTTTCTCCGAAATTTTGGACAGTAGAATACTCACCGGGTCAGGTTGTGGTATTTGTTCTGCCAACTGGGTATTCCTAGAGGTGAGTCGGGACTGCAGTATCTGATACTTTGTATCGGATACTCACCAGTCCCGTGTGTAACTGTTACTCAAAACAAAAAGTATCTGATACTGGAGTACTCGTTCCTACTATTGAGTACTGGTACCGTACTGCTAAACCTTCAATCCAGTAGGTACCAGGACTCGTCTCGGGTATCAGTTCAGTAGTAGCCTACTCGTTTAAACTTAACTGAGTATTATAGCTGAAAATACATTATCATTTGTTAGTAATAACAAACTCCACAAATATGAAAACTGCTTTCATTGATCACTATAAATCAATAAACTGCTTAAGAACACATAGTAATCATTTTGTAAAGGAACTGAGTACTGCCAGTGGTATCACTAATGGTATTTGGTATTATACTGATACAGGAACACTCTACCGGGTACCAAATCCCGTCGGCCGTGATGAGTACTCATGAGTACAAAGTAATCATCAAAAGTACCTAACTGATACTCGAGAGTACCAGTACCGGTAGTAATCAGTATTTCGATGTACTCATTTAGCCCATCTCTAGGTATTCCGTCCTACCCGTGAATCGTGATCGAAGCTCGTAGGCTTTGATTCCTGTCCCCTTCTGCTCACCTTCTTCCAGGCCTTTCTCTAGCATTTCAGTTGTTAATTCTTCAACTCCTAATTTTGTCATTTCTAAATTATAAAAGTCCTGTCACGGTCGCCAATTGATATCGCCACTATACTGTACGTGATTCAATTCCTTTGATATCACGGACGATTAATACCAAACATTAGAAATAACAAAATAAATTTTAACAAAAACTAGGTATCTTCTTTATTGTATTCAACAAAACAACATACTAAACTATTTTCTGTTTACAAAACAATTGAAAAACATATGACTGTTTATGTATTAATTATTAAACAGTCTTTTGGCAAACTTATATGAAATATATTGAGGGGTTTTCTTTATCAATGATTATAAAAAAATATTATTATATGATATTGGTAACAGTATTTACCTTCAAAATGTTTCAGTTTTTTTTTCGGACACCCTGTATTTAAAACAATCCATCAAAAGCATAAAGCATAAATGCTAGTCCAGGATTAATATTACATTATAACAACATTTCTAGTGAAATTAAATTTGATACGTAGATTATTATTGTTAAAATAATTCTTCTAGTTGTATTATATGTGTAAATCAATCATAATAAACAAATGCTTTCTAAAATACCTGTCTGCAATATAAAACAGATGATTGTCACGGGGGATTTTAGTGTAGAAAAGGGTAAATGAGTGGGAGATTTACCATGATAGGGAAATCATATGTTGAATTCCAACCGCACAATAATTTTAGACAGACTATAATCATCGTACGTCAAAGTTAGAAGAATTATCGTAAGGGTTTAAAGCAACCGTCGATTTTGACGGATTTCGCCTAGTTTTTACTCAAATTTTTCATAAATAAGACATATTTATTCCCAATTTAAATATCATTAGATTTAACAAGTGCTTAGGTTTGCTACTACGGCGGGGAAGGTAAAAGGTGTTTTGACCAAACGTCAATAGTATAGGATGAAATAAAATAATATACCAAATTTTATCAACATATATCCATAAACAAGTAAACTACAACCGTTTTCATTTTCTCCAGAAGAATAACATGGAAATTTTTAGTTACACTTTTTGAATTTTCTCCGTAACTGTTAGGCACACAAAAGCGCTTCAATATACTAAATTATTTATTTTTTTAAGCTCTACAAAATGGTTGGGAAAGAAATTGTAAATTATTTTGTTTTTAGGGTCAAAAATGGGAAAAGCCGATTCCTATTCTATGAAACCCCCTATTAACCCCCATCCCCATGGTCCGATCTGCTGGTTCGGGAACTCGTTGGAATAAATGTAGGTTTACACGTTTATTATACCAAACTAGCTGTAACCCGCGGGCTTTGCCCCGTTAAACTTCTTAATTTTCAAGATGATCTCGTTCGCATGGCTCAATCACGTCCTGGTTGAAGTTCGTTCGCTACGCTCACTCACCTTTATGTTGGAGCTCGTTCGCTACGCTCACTCACCTTTAGGTTGGAGCTCGTTCGCTGCGCTCACTTGCCTTCAGGTTAGCTCGTTCGCTACGCTCACTTGCCTTCAGGTTAGCTCGTTCGCTACGCTCACTTGCCTTCAGGTCAGCTCGTTCACTACTCTAACTCGCCTCCAGGTTGAAGTTCGTTCGCTATGCTCACTCACCTTTTGGTTGCAAATTAGCTGTTGTCATAAATGTAAAAGAAATAATAGTGCTGCACCCTGTTGGTAATCCTTGTAACTTTAATGCTAGAGAACATCATAGAACAGAACCAACTTGTTTAATTGAAACAGCTGTTAAGATTCATTAATTCCATTTCTCATAAGGTTAACATGGGAAACTACAGAGCCACTGGGGCGGAGCCGATTGGACGGATCACGAAATTGATGGTGTATAAACCTATTCCATGAAATTCTACACGTATGTACCAAGTTTCGTGGCAATCGGTTCAGGGGTGTCTGAGTTTATCACTGCCAAATATATATATATATATATACAAACATCCTCTTTTATACTTATAGATTTAATCAAAATTGGATAATTTTTTTCGAGTTATCGTGCTAACGGACATATATATGTATAAATATTGTTTTGAACGGATGGTGTTTTTGGTCTCTGGGGACCTCAAAACGAAAAAGTAAATTGGTCCCGGGTCTAGGTCTCACCATGAGACATACGGTAATAGCTTATTACCTATAAGGGAAATTCGCTAAGAATGCAGGTAGGCTTGGTTTCAAACTAAAGGAACGGATGTCTAAATACTATACAGCCCGATGTGTAACTGACTGGGGATACAAATTCTAGACCACTTCTAGATGAGCTAGAGACTTGAAATTTTCGGTGGTTGTAGGTCTAGTGCCCAAACCACCCATAAAATTCCAAAAAGTCGCATTTTCAAATTTTAACCCCCCGAAATTTTGAATTCCCCCCCCCATGTTATTCTTATGGGGAATAACGTTAAAAATGGCCGAATTTGGTGTGCACCTCTGAGCGGTTTAGAAACGTGCTAGAGACTTGGAATTTGCGTAGTATTGTACTATGGGATCGTAAATTAACGGTGAGTTTTGCAAAAGTCCCATTTTCAAATTTTAACCACCCCAAAATCCAAAATGGCGGACCTCTGAAAACGACAAAACACGTTTTTTTCAACCGGATGTAGCTCGAAAACGGTGGGAGCTAGATAAGATTTGAAAGAATTTTCATGAACGGGAATTAAATTTTCTACAAAACCCTTCTTCGGCGTTTTCCGAAAATCGCACTTCTTCAGCTTCAAAAAACGCCCTGCTTTCAAAATTGGGTAAGTTTTTTCAAAATTTTTAACGGTTTTCGCCATTTTTTCTTGACTAAATAATTTTTTTTACAAATATTGTTAATGTTTTGTATTCTCCTTACTTTACTTTAAATTTTACACGCTACATGTTTTTTCGTAACTTTACTCTTTGACCCCCAAAACTTATTTTTAATGTCGAAATTTGAAAGTTTTTACGAGCCCCATGTTATTCTTATGGAGGATAACATTGAAATTTAATGACTCTTTGTTATGGTCATCTGAATTGTTTAGAAACGTGCTAGAGACTTGTAATTTGGTAGTATTGTAGTATGGGATCTTAAGTTAAGGGTGAAATTTACAAAAGTCCCATTTTCAAATTTTAACCTCCCCAAAAATCCAAAATGGCGGACATCTAAAAACGACAAAACACGTTTTTTTTTAAAGGGCTATAGCTCGGAAACGGTAAGAGCTAGAAACGATTTGAAATAATTTTCATGGTCAGAAATTAAATTTTCTTCAAAACCCTAGGTGCGTTTTCCGAAAATCGCACTCCTTCAGCTTCAAAAAACGCTCTACTTTCAAAATTTGGTAAATTTCCTTAAAATGTATACCGGTTTTCACTATTTTTTCATACTTAATTAACTCCTTTTTGAAAATATTATTATTGCTTTGTATTCTCCTTACTTTACTTTAAATTTTTACTCTCTACATGTTTTTCGTAACAACAAAAAACCGTTGTTACCGGTGTTGGACCGGTGGGGGTCGTTACTCCTTGACCCCCAAAACTTAATTTTAGTGTCAAAATTTGAAAGTTTTTACGAGCCCCATGTTATTCTTATGGAGAATAACATTGAAAGTGGCCGACTTTGGTGTGCTCATCTGAAAGGTTTAGAAACGTGATAGAGACTTGAAATTTGGCAGTAACGTAGTATGGGATCTTAAATTAACGGTGAAATTTCCAAAATTCCCATTTTCAAATTTTAACCACCCCAAAAATCCAAAATGGCGGAACTCTCTCCTTTTAAGTCTTTTTTTGGTTTTCGCTACTTTTTCCTACCTTTGCGATTTTTTTGCAATTATTATTAATGCTTTGTATTTTCCTTAGTTTACCTTAAATTCTACACTGTACATGCTTTTTTCGTAACATTTTGCTCCTTAACCCCTAAAACTTAAGTTTAATGTCAAAATGTGAAATATGTTTACGAGCTCCATACCCAGACAGCACACTTTATCCCAGGGACATCCCATAGTAGTCCCATATATGTCCTGAGAATGTCTCGGGATATGTACGCTAGCAAAATCCACTGGATATCCTGTAGACCCTAATGTCCCGGTAACAAACTGAAGAAAAAAACTACTACCACTGATTAAATGTATATCAAAATTTAAATGTTCAACAAGGCCAATATATAATATTTTGTTTTATTCACTAGCGCATTCAGAAACTAGGTTTCCATCTTCAGGCTGTGTTTTCTAAGCGGCCGAACTATACCACTGAGTTCAGGAATACCCCCGCCGCAGCAAACCTGCCGACTAAGCGAATTTCCATTTGCCTGAATTGATTTTCAATTGAATGTATTTAATTAACATTAGGATTTATGAGTACCTAGGCTTGGTGCTACAGGGAGGGTAAAAAGTGTATTTTTGGTAAAATATGAATAACT